TAGGCTGTTCAGTCTATCCTGGGACATTGTTGATCTCAAATAATTTTTCACCAGTTTCAGTTTGCTAAAAGCCCGTTCACCCCCAGCAACAGTCACAGGTAGTGTGCAAAAAATCCTCAGTCCAATACAAACTTCTCCAAAAATGCTCTGTAATTGCATCCTGTAGATGGAATTAAGCAGCTCAAGAGGAGACATGGGATGCAGTACAGAGCCTTTGCACTTTCACTGTAAATAAGCCAGTCTCTTCTTATCTTCTCATGCCCATTGGCTGACTTAGCATATTGAAGATAATTTGGAAATGGCTTGCCCTCCATATCTTTGGGTGTTATTTTGTCGATTCCTGGTGTTTGATCACTTTTATTCGCCAGTCTTCTGACAACTGTATCTCTCTGTTGACCAGTGAGCTTCTCTGGCCATAGTCCTGGATCCTCTGGCAGACACTCATCTGTGTTGCTCAGCCTCTCACTTTCTTCTTCTTCTGGCCTCTCCTCATCATCCTCACTACCTTCAGAGCAACCATCCCCTTCCCTATCTTCACTTACATCATCCTCTTTCACATATTCTATCTCTTTCTCTGCTGCAAGGGGGACAGACACCACACAAGCAAAATGGATCATGAATTAGGTCAGCAAAATATAACCTAACATGTCCTTTCAGATAAATCTGTTGCTAATGATTGCTTGTAAATTGAATAACTTAATTGTATCGTGAGCTCAGGGGCGGATTTAGGACTGAAGAAGATCCGGGGCTTAACACACAAACACGCGCGCACACACACGTGACACGCACTAGTCAACATCATATATATTTGTCTTGTACCACATAATTTTTTAATCTAAAGCTACATATTAAGCATATTCAGGGCAGAATATTGTTCCTGTTAGTGTTTAGTGTGAGATGAAAGTAAATATTCACTTTCCAGCAACTTTACCTGAGAAGCTAACTTTAGGCAAACCAGCAACACAACAAATATTTTCAAATAAGACTCACAAACCTGAGTCAACACCAGTCTCATCAAAGCTGGGGTTCTGTTGTTGTACTTTTTGTCTAAAAAAAAGTCCTTATGTCCATCTTCACTCATGCGTTTCAGGCAGAGACTGCAGAAGAAGCTGGCTGCTGAAGGGCTTCTTCTTCAGTGGTGGAGGCTCAGGCAGGCTGTATACAAACTACTGCCAGCTGCTCCCTCTCTGTTGGACTTTGTTACTGCATGTTACTTCCACGTTTCAGATCCGGGGCTTTTCATAAAACATCCGGGGCTTCAGCCCAAGTAGCCGGGCCTAACGCCGCCCCTGAGTGAGCTCACCTTGTCTCATCTCCTCAGTGCTTTCTGGAGACAATGAGGGCCCTGCTGCTGCTGCTACTGCGTCTAAAGGGCCATGTGGTTCATGATGTTAAGCTTTGCTAATACTGATATATATTGATATATTAAATACATATGACATGAAATAAACCAGGTTCTCTCTGTGAATGTAATGTACTCTAAATTTTATAATCCCTGCATTATCAGCCAAATTATAAGATTGTCCGTTTTCAAGATCAAATATAAAGAAATTTAAAATAGGCTTAAAATATCTAACCAAGTCAATAACAATCCTCTAACACCAGTGTCATCATGCTATACGAAAAACAGTGGCAGCTTCCCATTCCTAAGATTACCACGAATCCATCGATACCAAGTTTGTCCTGGTCCATGACTGGGAAGGAGCTGAAATATCCACACAGAGTGAACCTGTTTTTACTGTGAGGTCCGCAAATTAATTGGCGGCAGCCGCCCGCGATAATAATTCTGATTAATATATATATAAATTAATTAGTGTTATGATAACACTAATTAATTTATATTTGATCTTGATGGTGAAACTAAAGGCGTTTAACACTTTCTTTCTTCTTTCTTTCGGTCTTTATTTTGGTTTATAGCATTAACATAAAATTTTTCTTTTCAAACAAAACAATATTAACAATTTGAATTTAAACCAAAGAAGGAATAGGCAGAAGCAATGCTTATTTTAGCCTACCCTATTTTCCACCTAATATACATAACCAATATACATTTCTTTTATTTTCCCCAATATAAATATCCACAATGAAAATTCATTAATGTCTATACATACTTTTCGTACCCTGTAAATATGTGACACTTTACACCTGCTTTAAACTTTAGTAAAGAAGTACATTTCTTCAAATCATCGTCTAACTCATTCCACAATTTCACACCAACAACAGAAACACATCTTGATTTCACATTAGTTCTGGCTTTTACACATTCAAACATAAATACACCTCTGAGATTATAATGATCATCTCTTGGTTTGAAATAAACTTTTATGCAATTTGGGATATTATTATTAACTACTTTATGAAGAATCTCTAAGATTTTTACTTTAATAATGTCTCCTAATTTTAGCGTTTTCGTTTGACTAAATAGATAATGGGTTGGTTCGAGGTATCCCAATTTATTAACTATTTTAATCGCCTTTTTTTGTAATTTAAATACAGTCTCAACACACGTTTTACCTGCATTTCCCCAAACCTCTGCACAGTAAGACAAATAAGGCATAACTAAAGAGCTATAAATCAAAAACAAGGCTTTTTTATTTAGTATATCAATAGTTTTATAAAGTATAGCAATAGATTTAGACACTTGCTGTTTGATATATTCAATGTGTGGTTTCCAACTGAGTTTACTATCAATAGTCACACCTAGGAATTTAGTTTCATGTACTTGTTCAATTGGGACTCCATTTAAATACAGCTTAGCACCGTCATTATCCCTTTTCCCTGAAAATATCATAAATTTGGTTTTATTTTCATTTAGTGATAGCTTGTTGTAATCAAACCATTTTTTAACCCTTTGATACATAATGGTCACTACAGTGGACAGGTACTCAAAATTGTTATTTCTTTATTTTTGCTATTAAGCACAGCTGTTGAAGACTTTATTGCATTTGAGCCCCTCCATTTGGACTTCAGTAAGTCAAGCCAACATATTCCATGTTCAGAATGCACGCTGTCCACTGAGATGGACATGTAATAAATTATTTGTAAATTAACAAAATGTTACAAAAAATATTTGTTGAAATTTGTTTCATTCACACCTAAAGATGAATGAAAAAAATTGTTTAAAAAATCTTGGTTGAAGATTTCATAATCCATGCATCAGAGGGTTAATTGAATCCAATTCGTTTTCAACCTCTTGTAATAATTTACTCATATCTTTTCCCATACAAATGAAATTTGTATCATCTGCAAACATAATAAATTTTAACCGAGACGATACAGAAAAGATGTCGTTCAGGTATAGGTTGAATAATTTCGGTCCTAGCACCGAGCCTTGCGGTACACCACATATTACTCTTTCAAGCTGTGAATCTATATCATTAACATTTACATATTGAAATCTACTGCTTAAATAACTTTCAAGCCATTGATTGGTTTTACCACAAAGACCATAGTATTCACATTTCTTGAGCAGGTATATGTGATCAATTGTATCAAATGCCTTACTCAAGTCAATCAAGACAGCCACTACATGAAGTTTTTGATCCACTGCTGTTGCAATCTGCTCTACCAAATCCATAACTGCTAATGAGGTTGAACGATTCTTCCTAAACCCATACTGATGGTCATTTAAAAGATCAAACTTGTTGGTAAATGCTTCAAATCTAATTACAAAAAGTTTCTCAAGTATATTTGAAAACTGTGGCAGTAAAGAGATAGGTCTATAGTTACAAGCTAATAATTTATCACCACTTTAATAAATAGGAATAACTCTGACTATTTTCATTTTTTCAGGGACTGTGCCACTTGAAAATGATTTATTACAAATATAAGTAAAAGGTTCAATAATGCAATGGATAACCTCCTTCATGAGAGACATATCTATCCCATGAAAATCTAAGGACTTTTTACTTTTGAAACTATGTACCGCTTGGATCACATCACTTTGGCTTACACTGCTCAAAAACATTGTATTATTATTTTTATTTATTTCATGGTTAATGTCAACTTCTGGCAGCTTTTTAGCTAGATTAGGGCCAACATTCACAAAATATTTATTAAACTCATTTGCAATGTTCTTTCCATTTTTATTGTGAATATCTATACCTGCTTCTTTTGTATTTCTTATTAATTTATTTAACACATTCCATGTACCTTTAATATTGTTTTTGTGTTTTAGGAAAAGCTGATCATAATATTCCTTTTTTTGCTTCCTTATTATTGTAGTTAATTTGTTTTTATATTCCTTATACCTTTTTTCTTTTTCCTTTGTTGGATTTTTTATAAAATCCAGATACAGTGATTTCTTTTTCTGGCAAGCCCTTTCCAATCCCCTAACAATCCAGGGTGGGGACCTTTTTTTTAAGTTTTGCTTATGATATTTTAGAGGACAATGTCTATCATAAGCTCCCAAAATGAACACTGAACACCTAACATGAATGCAGCTTCTGAGAGCTAGCTAATACCAGCTAAAACTGTGTTCTGCTGCTCACCTTCCTTCTTGAAGAATCTAGTCAATACTTGCTTCTGTTCGATTAACTTTTTCTCCTTCTCCTTCTTTTCTTTTCTGGAAGCCAGATTTCCCTTTCTTGGGAAAAGACATGACTGACTCTCCTGCCTCCAGCTCTGGCTGTCGGCATCTGCGATGTCTCATAGCTGTACATGCGGCCGTGCAGCCCCTGGCCGCTGGTGTGGACTAAACCACTTTGCACATTTTTAAGGGGTGATAGATGCCTCAGAGATTATTCAGTTATTATTTTTAAGGCGAAATTCTGTTTCTTAACCTCTTTATCCAGGTAAAGGGAAGTTTATTAAGACATTAAGTAAGTTGGGGGGAAAAAACAACAACAATAAAACATTTTTATTCAAAGCTGTCTCAGGGCCCCTCCCTGCAGTGGGCCCTGGGTAAACGGTACCCTTTCCCCCCCCAGTCCGACGCCCCTGCTTACGCGTCCGGTGGAAACTCACCCATCCACTACAACAGTGGCTAACTGCTGCACACTACGTTTCACGAATGTTCCGCGACGCTTACGATGGAAAGGCCCAGGAAGACAGAGGCTCCACTTTCACTCAGTGGAGAATGAATGTTAGCACAGATTCACGGCTGCTGTGTGAGATTTGCCACCAGTAGAAGTGGCGACTTGTTTCAAAGACGGAGCAAAGATCAGTAACACCGTAAAAGTATTGGGTCATTGTAAAAATTTATTTGTGAACATCTTTATTTATTTGTATTTCTGTCAATGTAAAATCCCATCCACAAGTGTACGCTAACATCAATATTCTGTCTCCAACTATAAAAGGAGCATTTACAGAGCACAACTGGATTTATTCCCAACATAAACGTACAGTACCAACAGAAATACTTTCAATTCAAAACACGTTGGAACATTAAAAAATAAGTAAAGCAATTACAGAAACAGTCGAGTCCTTCTTGATTTTCCTTTTTGCTATGAAACGGATCGTCCTAGATCATTCTGGAACAGATGTTGCGTTCTGCACTTTGGTGGTAGAAGAATCTGGCGCCGAGGTTGGGTCAGGAGACACCAGATGCTGAGGTTTCCAGGACAGCCGTGTGTGTTCTTTACATTCTTTTGTTTTACTGGCCTCAGCTCCAACACCTTAGTAAAATACAGATGTTATAAAAATGATCTTCACTAGCTCAACATACCTTTAAATTTCATATATATGTTAATCAATAAATAATTAAATACATAGATAAATATATACTTTCTGTGTTTACATTAAAAGCTTTCACAAACTCTTTTTTTTCAGTCAGACAGACGTGACGGTAGAAACGGTTCACGTGTCGCCGTCTGACCCTGATGGAATCAGACAGTCGTGATGTTCGGCATGTGGATCTTTGCAGGTCTGTCGCTCCGTCGGTCTCTAAATATGTTGGCACTCGTTTTTGCTGCAGGTGGCCTGTCGTTCAATCTGCCACGTGCCCTCCTCGTACGTGCAGTAGCAGATTGTGCACTCGTCAATTTTCACCTCTCGGCCGGCTGGGATCACCTCGGTGTCGGCGTAGCAGTTTGGCCCTGTGCAAAAGAAACAGGAAAACCGCGGTGAGCACTGAAATTGGACCGTGTTGTTTCTGAAAATGGAACTTTTGATTTCCTCTGTGTTGTTGGTCTCGTTATTGAGGTCAGCGTATTCCTCAGAGCATCGAAAAGAAACCAAATCCCAAAGTTTTGACATCATCGGGAACATGCTTATGTAAAAAATATTTTACATAAACCATTTTGTCAGGTTCAAAAACATCCGAGCTGTGACATTCACTACATTTGCATTCTAAATTTGTCTACTTTTAAGACTAGGCTTAAAACATTTTTATTTGATAGGGCCTATGCTTAAAATCGGATGTTAGCCTAAATCTGGACAAGTGGGGGAGTAGAGGGAGGTGGAGGGTACAGTCGGTAAAGACGGCTCTCCCTTGCCCTGCCTCCAACATGCCTCCATCTAAAAGGTTATCCAGAGTTATCTCTGTAGTTATGCTGCTATAGGCTTAGACTGCTGGAGGACACACTGACCACTTTCCACACTCGACTACCTTCTTCTACAATCTGCTCTTTAACTGTATTATTTCCTGCTATTTCAGCTGTTAACTTTATTTTCTCTCTAAGTGTTTTTCTCCCCAGAAGAAGCTACAACGATGTTCTGCTGAGCTGTGGTGGCCTCATGGAGGGGGCCATCGTCTAGCACACTGCTGCTAACCACTTAAACATTCTCCCTCTCCTGATAATAACTTTTTGCTTTCCTTGACATTGGACGTGTTATTGCTAGTTTACCCGTTTAATTATAGATCCACTAGGATAAATACAATAAAGTTTATCTCACCAAATAGAATATTTACTAAGACATCACAATAGAACTGTAGACACATTACTGTGTGTGTGTGTGTGTGTGTGTGTGTGTGTGTGTGTGTGTGTGTGTGTGTGTGTGTGTGTGTGTGTGTGTGTGTGTGTGTGTGTGTGTGTGTGTCTGCTCTGTCTTCTCCATCCCCAGTGAGTCGTGGTGGATGGCTGCTTATACTGAGCCAGGATTCTCTGGAGGTTTCATCCTGTTAAAAGGGAGTTTTCCTCTCCACTGTCGCTGCATGCTTGCTTGGTATGAGGATTGCTGTATAGTCACTGACACTAGTCAGTGACTTGATGCAATTTGCTGGGTTCCTTATATAGGAAACATTATTTCTGATTGGCTTAATGAACTGACCTGAATTGGAATGTTTATTATGTGAAGTGCCTTGAGACGACTCTTGTCGTGATTTGGCGCTTTATAAATAAACTTGAATTGAATTGAATTGAATTAAATAGATTTTTAGCTACTAAAAATTGATGACAGAAAGATTTATTATTAAAATGCTTTGTGACTTCTGCATTGCAAGCATGCTTCATCGCCTTTTGAGTGATGAGCACTTCTGCACCTTTTAAAGGTCAAATTCACCTGAGCGGTTTTAAAAGGTCAAAACAAGAACGAGAACTAAACTTCTGTGTTTGACACGGTTAAAACGCAACTCCAGTATCAGAAACCATGACAAATATAAGTTTCCTGTTTTTTTACATTTATGTCCAATGACTTCCTGTTTGGACGCCACTCTCCCAAAGTAGCTCTTTTCTACCTTTCTAGCAGCACTGTCTGCCCGTGGTTTGTTCGTGTACAAATCTAACATTTGTGTGCACAATTATGAAAGTAATTTGATTCTTTTCCCTAACAGGCCTGACAATGTGCATTTTAATGGTGGTATATGATGATTATAGTGTGAAAAATGAAATCTTACACCCAGTTGCTTTAAAGGTGCAATATGTAGGAATGATGTAAAAAAAAATTACACCCTGTGGTTAAATTTGGTTACTGCAATCACTTTCTCACTCCTGTTCTGTGAGTTTCATGGATCTTGCCAGTTATGGATCCACACCAGAAGATTCAAGATGACCAGCAAAGAAAAGTAATTCACAGTTTGTTGAATAGATAAATAAAGTTCAAGTGAAGGTCCCACTAGCTGTCACACACACATGTGTGTGAAATTTGTTCTCTACATTTGACTCATCCCCTGGGGGAGTGATGAGCTGAAGGCCCAGCCGTGCTCGGGAACCAGTTGGTGGTTTTTATTGTTATATCTGGTGTTAGCACTCCTGGGTGTTTTGCGATAATAATAAGGAATAATTTCCCTCTGGGATTAATAAAGTTCTTTTGAATTTGAATAAGGAGCACTAACAAAAAGAGGGCGTGGCTTCTTAGGCATGCAAGAAATTACTTTTGGGTCGCTCTTGTCGCTGGCTTCAGTTCTTTAGCCATAGCTGAGTTACAAATGCCAGCACTGCAGCGTTAGCTCGCAGGAGACGTGACAACGTCACACTAACTGGTGGTAAACAGTAGCTACGTCCCTCCTTTCTGACAACCCTCCAGCTGGCTGAGAATGAAAGATGTTTCTGTCTACCCTTCCTTCCAACATGACTGAGACATTAGACTGTTTGGGGATTCTTACTTTATTTTTATACATTGCATCTTAAAAATTTATACTCTGGATATTTTAGGCTTTAATTCCTTAGAGCACATCTGTTCTAAAAACTTTCAAGAAACCCCTGTTGGTGATCAAAGCTTTAATTTGAAACTAGAATAGAGGATGAAAAACGTGGTTGTACGTAGATTTTAACGCCTCAAATTAATAAAAAATGGAAACATTGGGAAAACATTTTTTCTTCTGTGGAACATTAAAGGGTTAAATGGCTTTTATCTTTTAGATGTCACGCCTGTACTTTCTGCTCGGCTCAAAAAGCCACCAAGGACACCAATCTATGGCAAAAAGCACAGCGTAAGGACAGATCACACAATTTAAAGCCGTTTCTGTTGTGCTGCTCAAAGGATGCCAATCAGTTTGAAATTCTCCAAGCTCAAAGACTAATCAGCCTTGATGTAGACACAAAATGACTAGAAACAGCTTGGAAGTCCACTACTCTGGTGGGAAAAGGAAATGTTTAGTTTCAAATCTATAAACCTTGAGAATAATGCAAAAATAACAAAGTCACTATTATTATAAATTCCTCACATCTTCTAGATATTTTAACTTTCAGTGTAAAACTGAACTCAGACAAAGAAAACATGAGGAAAACCAAAATAAACTTCCTGACTTGTTGAAACAACCCATCTGGTATTGAGTCTCTCACGTGTCTCTCTACATAATTGTCTGAATTCAGCTACATTGGAGGGTTTTCCTAACCTTGAATTTAAAATGTAAAGGTGGAATGCTTGCTTAGTATTGATTTGATGCAATTTGCTGGGATCCTTATATAGCATAGCATAGCATAGCATAGCATAGTTTATTTATATAGCACATTTAAAATGCAGCATGGGAGCTGCCCAAAGTGCTGCACAGGCTAAAACAAAACACAACCATTCGAAAGAACTAAAACAGAGGATAAAAATCCCAATCAAAAGCAGATAAAACCCGATGACTACTAAGAACACATTAAAACAATGATACAATAAAACACTAAAACGAGTCACTGTCTAAAAGCCTAAGCGTAAAAGTGGGTCTTTAAACGAGATTTAAAAACCACCAGAGATGGAGCCTGCCGAACTCCAATGGGCAACGAGTTCCACAGCTTTGGGGCAGCATGGACAAATGCTCGTTCACCCCACGATTTGAATCGCATCCGCGGTGTGCACAGCAGCAAAAGGTCAGCCGACCTCAACGTGCGCGTGGGCACATATGGAGTGAGCAGGTCAGAGAGATAAGGAGGTGCCAGGTCATTGAGAGCTTTAAATACAAAGGTCAGTAACTTAAACTGCACTCTGAAAATGACAGGGAGCCAGTGAAGATGTGTCAGGACAGGAGTTATATGGCTACGTCGGCGTGTACTCGTCAAGAACCTGGCAGCAGCGTTCTGGACGACCTGCAGCCGATTCAAGGCGGATACCGGAACACCAACGAGGAGGGCGTTTGTGTAGTCCAAGGGAGAGGTAATGAAGGCAAGAATGACTGACTCCAAATGCCTCCTTTTCAGGATTCGTCTGAGGCGAGTAAGGCGGCAAAGCTGATAAAAGCAAGACCTCACTACGGAGTTTATGTGGGGCCATTGTGAGTCCAGCATCCAGCTTGACCCCGAGACTTGTCACACACTGTTTGGGGTTGAGGGTTAAAAGGTCACAAACAGGGTGAGAGCCATGGTGGTTGCGGGGGTCAAGAACAATAAACTCAGACTTCTTTTCATTTAACTTTAAGAAGTTGGATGCCAGCCAGCCCTTCACGTACGTTTCTACGTATAGTTGACAGTCATCAGTGTAAATGTGATAGCTCAGGCCATGCTGATTCAGGATATTGCCCAGAGGCAGAAGGTAGATAGAAAACAGCAATGGCCCAAGAACAGAACCTTGTGGCACCCCCCAAGGCAGTGGAAGACAGGAGGATGCACAGTCAACAATCTGTACAGAGATGGAATGGTTTGATAGGTAGGAGCGGAACCATTTATGCGCCACCCCCGTCACCCCAACCCAAGGCCCAAGCCGATCCAGTAAAATATGGTGATCGACCATATCAAAAGCCGCTGAAAGGTCTAGCTGGAGCAGCAGTACCCTAGACCCAGAGTCAGATGCCACCAGAATGTCATTTAGCACCCTAATCAAAGCAGACTCAGTGCTATGTTGTGGTCTAAAGGCTGACTGAAACCCATCCAACAACGAGTTATTGTTCATATGAGCAGAGATCTGACCATGCACAATTTTCTCAAGGACCTTCGAGAGAAACGGGACTTTCGATATAGGGCGGAAGTTCTCATAAGTGGAGAGATCCAAACCAGGTTTTTTCAATATCGGCTGAACAACCGCATCTTTAAAAACCTTAGGGAACACTCCAGTGCTGAGGCTAATGTTAAAAATGTTCATAAGTGCCGGGCTCAGTGCAGACACTGAGTCACGCAACAATTTAGCTGGGAGGTAGTCCACCGAAGAGCTAGCTGGCTTCGTGGAGCTAATCAGTTTGATCAAGTCAGCAAGCTGAACTGGAGCAAAGTCTGAGAAGGAAGGTGGGTCTGGCAGTTCC